TATATATATATATATATATATATATATATATATATATATATATATATATATATATATATATACACACATATACACACACACACACACATATACATACATACTAGGGATGCACCGATAAAAGGATTTTTTTGGGCCGATACGATACGATTTTAACAAACAACTGTTTGCCGATTCTGATACCGATATTGGTAAATTGCATAAAGCAGTGCTTAAAAGCGAGAGAGACAAAAAAAAGATTGGTTCACTCCGAGCAGAATCGGTATTTGAACGTTTCTGTTCCTGCGTTCCTCTGTGAAACCGGTTTGAGTAGAAAACATACCGGTTAATAACACTATTTTTTAAAACTTTTTCTTAGCCAATAATAATAATAAAGTAAAGTGTTTAATTTACTCAAAAAGAAAAAAATCATGAAGAGTCTTGAATGATCTCACTTAGTCCTATCAATACAGCATCACCTTTTCTAGATTTACCAAAGACCAAATGTATTAAATAAAATAAAAAACTGCCAACGCAATAAAAACATTAAATAATTTTTTTTTCAAGATATTTAAAAATGTTTCAGCATGGATAAAAAAGGGTACTCCTATAAGCGTTAATTTTGAGAGGAAAAAAACAGCCTAAATTAGTAGGCTGTACGTTGCATTTTATTATTACATTCAGAAATAATGTAGGTTAAAATAATGGTAAATAAAAGCAAAATTACAAACACAATTAGGCTATTTTAGTTCCCTTCTCTCCACAACAAATCCCCTAAAGTTGTATTTAGGCTAAATATAAGCATCAAGCCAAAACAAATTAATTTAAAAACGAAACTGAAGCCTACCTCTCTCATTCTGCACAAATCCAAATGTTTCCATATTTGCGAAGTATCTGGATGCTAACCTATTATTTATTATGTGAACTATAGGCTTTGTTCTTCACTCGTATTATCGACGTAAAACATCGTCCTTCACATATAGGCTATATCAGCAGTGAGGCACGCGTACTGGTCACACTGAATGGCACAGACTGTACTACAGACTATTTAAATTGAGCAGTGTAACTTTTTATGTTTCTTTAACTGTATTTTATTTTGATAATGAACAGGCTGGGATGTCAAATTAGCAAAAATTTGTTGTATGTGCGTGTGAGGCATTTGTGATCACTGCATTGTTTTCCCAACTGTTACTCTGTAATTTATGGTTATACCAACGCTGGTTTGTCATACAGATAGAAGCAAAACATCATTCAAAACTGTAAAGCTTTTGTAAAATAAAGAAAACTGCTTTCAAACAAAAAGCTGCATATTACCTGCCATTCATTTTCACTTAAATTTTCTCTCGTTGGATGCGTCAGCGTCACGTTTGCATATGGCCGTACTATGCCATATGCAAATATATTATGTATGTATGTATGTATTAGGGATGCACCGATGTATTGGCCGCCGATATTTATCGGCCGATTTTTGATTATTTTAAAGCCATCGGCATATCGGAAATAGCATGAAAAGGGCCGATACCGATGGTTTATTAATTAACTGCATGGAGACAATGAGTTGCATGTCTGTTGCATAATCCAACGTTTTATATATATATACACACTAAAGTGTTACTGTCTGTCTGTCTGTCTATCTCTCTCAAAAAAAAAAAAAAAAAAAAAAAAAAAAATATATATATATATGTGGGTGTGGGTGTGTATGTATTGCAATGTCTTGTATGAAAACTTACGATGAAGCCCAGCTTTTTGTAGTCTCTGGTATACATGGACTTGCGCTTCTCAAAGCTGCCACTGTTGTTAGACTCACACTCAACGTCAAAAGCGATCCTGCGTAGCTCGAAGATGATGTCCCTCTGAGCCTATACAAACATAGGTACAAAACCTTATTATTACACAGCTTGTTTCTGATCTCTCAATCAAAACAATAGGCCAACAATAGCTACATGTTTCTCATATCACTCTTTCTTTCTCAAAGTAATAAAATGGTAACACTTTAGTATAGGGACCAATTCTCACTATTAACTAGTCTCTTATTAGCATGCCTATGATTAACATAATGGCTGTTTATTAGTACTTATAAAGCACATATACTGCATGACCATATTCTACATCCCTAATCCTACACGATACCCAAAATTAACAACTACCTTACTATTAATAAGCAGCAAATTAGAAGTTTATTGAGGCAAAAGTCATAGTTAATGGTTTGTTAATAGCAAGAATTGGACCTTAAAATAAAGTGTGACCAATAAAATAATTAAACTGAAATCAATATTTAATGTCCATTAATTTATTGGCCAAGCAGCTGTATAATAAGTAGGACCGAACAGTTGAACAGTTATTACAGCTGTAGACAGAGGTTTACCTGGTCTTGAGGATCCATCTTTGTCATCATGCGGTCCTCCAAAAGGTTAAAGGTCAAAACTTGTAGTACATATAACTGGTGGGCCATTTCATCATTTATGGGTTTGTTACTCCTGATCACATTCTGAAAAACAAGAAAGAGAATTTTAGACAGATGGAGAACATTGCACTGCTGTGGAGAGATTACTTTCCTTTTCTAAAACATCTCTTTTGTTTTATATTCAACACTTTGACCTGCATTTTATGTATGAAAGAAGCTACGCAAATAACAACACTACTACTACTACTACCTACTACTTTCCCGGGACTTGAAGAAAATGATAATTTCTGATATTTTCTGCATCAATTACATGAGAGCAATACCAGAGAGAGATGTTTATGTTCAGACTGGCAAACTGCCATACTACTCATACTATTTTCGTAATATGTATACTGTGCACTTACACTGAGGATGATTGAGCGCAGCTGCTTCTGTGCTAGAATGTGGGCCATCTCCTACAATCAAGCAAAACATTCAGTCACCTTAGTTCTCACACACTCATATACATACACACATATTCAATAACCTTTTCAAAAGGTATAGCTCTACAAACATATGAAACATCTCAGTCAAAT